GGTAGGCGTGTTTCAGGATGGCTCTCAGCGGCCTTCAACTTGCGGTGACACAACTCTGTGTAGTCCCTGCCTACTGTGAGCCATGGCAGTCCCTAGAGTCCTGTGGGAGTGATGGTCATGTCTTTCTTGGATCACTAGATCACTGCCTGTCAGGAGCCACACAAGAGCTGAGATTTTTTTTTAAGGGTGCTTTAAACAATTTATTTAACCGAAATGCCATATACTGACTTCCATTTATTTTGATACATCTTGTCCCCAAGGTGATTTAGAGGATCTTCAATCCAATGTAAATATTTCATAAATATTTGGGCATTTGGATATACATCTGTGCAATACCTCACATCTTTCAGCAAGAAAAACACTGAAGAGTAAAGACCTGACACAATTAACTGGGTATAATGAGAATCTGCTCCAAATATTTGTTTCTCTGAGGTAAAGGCACCACATACCTGTTCAATTAAGAAAACCACCCTTAAAACACAGGATGACTTTTTATTTTTAAGTAGGGCTTAGGGCACTCAGCGGCTAATTAGGTGCTTCGTGGCAGAGCGACATCCCCAGTTTATGCCATGAATTCATAGGGAATCGGTTCCAGCAACTCAGGCTCCTTCCCACTGGTTCTCACAAAGTGTGCTTCTCTGGGTGGGTCAGGCTGGTGCATCAGTTGAACCCAGGTACCTTTCTCTTTGGCTTCCTTCTTTTTCTGATCATTTTCCTTGACCCGTCTCAGGAAGTTATCTTGACTCTTTGCGTGTTTTATATGCTCAATATGCACATTAATCCTCTTGGCAAGTATCTTGCCCTTAACTTGCTTGTTTACAACAATGCCAACGGCACGCTGGGTAACACTGCAGACTCTTCCAGTTTTGCATGGTAACATTTGTGTGGCATTCCTTTTTGAACAGTACCCATTCCCTTGATGCCTACAATGCCACCCTTTTTGTAGATTCGCATGTATGTGGCCAAAGGAACAACCCCATGTTTTCTAAAAGGCTTAGAGAACATATATCGGGTTCCCCTCCTCTTTCCCTTTGTGTTCGTCATTTTGGCAAATTACTGGAAGATGGCGGTTCCGCCGAAAAGAAGGAGAGCTGAGATTCTATCCTATTTACAGCGAAGTCACCCTCCCACAGAGTGATGGACGGTAGCAGCAGACACGAGACTGCGGGGTTACAGTCGGGGTGGCTGAGCCCTCGAAACAGGAGGGGCGACCAGAGGATGAGCCAGCTGCGGAGCCGGACCACCTGCCCGAGGTGAGCAGCCGAGGACTCCCTCACGGGCCGCGGGCGTGCAGTGCGGTGCGCTTCGAGTGTAAGGAGCCTGTTTTTATTTTATAATGGGCCACAAGCTTGCCTGATCTCTGCTTCAGGAGACGTTATTTTCACTGTATGAAAGTGAAAGAAAAGCCCTTGTGCTTGCTGAGGTGAGGGTGGAGAGGACTAGCTCAGTCCTCCAAGGTTATTTGCTGTATAAACGTCCTGAAAAGGTCACTGGGGACAAAGAAAGTTTTCGCTTTTGTTCACAAGATGTGGGAGGCCCGTGGCAGATTCTCTCCCAACTCTGGAAAGCCGTGACACTACAACAGCCCTGGAGCAGGCCTCATGGGAGGTCTTCCTCCATCACCACCGTCTCACTGGACTCTAGGTGACCACATCATAGCCCACACCAAACCTTGTGAAGGACCTTAGGCCAGGGCCACCCAGGACGACAGTCCCCAAATCCAGGCACAGAAAAATTGTGAGGGATGAGACCATTGTATGGTATCATTAAATGGTGAGGTGACTGGTTACACACTAACATATAAGCAGTGCAAAGCGCTGGGCCTGGAAATCAGGTGCATCCAGCCTAAGTCTCGGGTCACATCAGTGGCGACAGGTGAGTCAGGCCGAGGGCAGGGCTAAGGGGAGCGGAGCTTTCAGCCGCAGCCTGACCCCTGTGCAGCTGCTGGGGACGAGAAGGAAAGGGATGCAGTGCGGGAAGAGCAGGAACAGCAAGGCTCTGCCTACACTAACATGGGGAGGGGAGCACTTCCCGAAGCGCCGGGGCGGCCCGGCTAAAGAGTCCTCCAAACACCATCTGGCTGCTCCTTATGGTCTGGAGTAGAATGGGGCCGATGCACAGCTTTCTTGGAGTTCCTTGAGAGCTACGTCATGCGTTATGGAAAATGCACATTTTATAAATCACAGTTTGCTCATGTTACATTTTGGAAGGCAAGCTCTCCCATATAAACCATAGTTCCTTATTTTAACATTATGAACACACACCACCTTTCAGGACAGACTGAAGGCAGGAACTGTTTTAGTTCTTGGGTGGGGCATCCGGGGTTCAGACTCAGTGCTCAGCCCCGAGCCCTGACGGCCCCGAACCAAAGGAAAGGACTGCAGCTAGCTTTCATTAATTGGTCTTGGTGGTGAGCTTCAAAGAACCATGTGGTTAGAAATAACACTTTCAAATTAAAGGCACCATATTACAATGACCCATGCACACTCATGCTTATGGCAGCACAGTTCCTAATAGCTAAATCTCAAAGCTAGCCTGTCCATCAGCAGATAAACAGATAAAGACAATCTGGAACTTACAAAGGAGCACTGCTCTGACGTAAAGGATAAATGAGTCATTTGTAGGAAAATGAATACACCTTGAGATCATAATGTGAAGTGAAATAAATCAGACACTCAAGCCTAGATATCTTACATGAGAAACCCAAAGAATAAAGAAAGCAAAATAAAGATAGATAATAGGAAAAAGGGAGATAGAGCATTCTCAAATAGGAAGGGGAGTAGGAGATAAAGGAAGGCAGGGAAAGGGGATGAAAAAAGGAATTAAGATGAGGCATGCAGAAGTGCCAACTCCACACAAGGCATGTAAACCTTATGCACTGCAAATGGTACTGATAAAAAACAAAAAACGAAAGAACTGGGAAAACTGAAAATGAAGAAATGATACTTTCTTATTACTTTCTTTAGGGCTAAATTACCCTAGGCTACAGGGCTAGGGATCAACGATTATGAGCTGAAAGTAATACAAGGGAAGTTTTTTGAAAAGCGATGTTGAGGTGCAGCTGCACAGTTGTTTTGATAAAGGAAAAATACAAGGATTCAAAGTAGAGCACCATTTTTAGGGAAACTCTGAGAATTTATTTTCACAGGCAAGTACTCTTCTACCTGGGATGATTATTCTGCTTTACTTTGTAAAAATCTAAAAAACAAGAAAACACTTGTCCACATGGATTCGGTTAGCTCATGAGGTGCCAACTTCAATTTGGCAGGGACGTGGGGCTGCCTGGTGACAGCTGAACACATGGGACAGCTTCCCATGGAGAGCGCTTTGGAGGCCTCTGCAAAACAGGCTCTGAATGCCTTCCCAATCACCCGCTGCAGCAGCTCCCAACGATGAACCCTGCAAAGTCTTTGCAGCATGCTCCGCTTCAAATCTTGCAATTTTTTAAGCAAATAAAAAGAAACAAAGCAGTTATACTGTATGGCAAATCCAGTTCAGAACATAGCGATGACACCTGGCATATTTGATGTAATGAACCCCTATAAAATCTCCCTTCTTTACCTATGGTCCAAAGAATTGGAAATGCTCGAATATAGTTGGTGTGCATGTGTGCATGCGTGTGCACACACAGAGAAATGGAAATAGAAAAGAGATCACCGGGGAAAGCTGTAGCAGCACTTTTCTTTATTACTTTGGTTTTTAGGAATATTTGTCTTCAGAAAGATAGTGTTGACTTCTAGCAGAAACTCATTGAAATGATAAGACCTCTGGGAGAAAGATTTTCATTTCTTTCTTAGGAACTGAGTTTCTGAGTGCTCTTCAGAGGAGTGCAGAATAGTCACTCACTCTGTACTTACTTAAAGCGAGCAGTCAGATATTTCTGAACTCTGGAGAAGCACTGCCCCTACTTTCTGAGGAACCTCGGTTTGATATTCACTCTGGTCTCCCTCACTCAAATCCAGGTCTCTCCTTCTTTGGAACTCTAGATGCTGGAGTCAGCACCATGGATGCGAGACAAGCATATTAGCTCAGAAGCTGCAGGAAATGGGTTGTGACTTAATATCCACAGGGTTTGAACATCAGGAAACCCAGTCTTGACCAAGATTTGCCCATAATTTGGTGAGCCCAAGCTTTCTAAAGTAATGCAGTTGTGCTGAGTGCTGTCCAGCGACCCACCAGCCCAGTTGGGCCTGACGCTGAGCTCGCCTTCTCTCAGACACTGTCACCTGATGCACCATTGGGACGACTGGCTTTGCTGGACAGTGTTATGTGTAAGTGGCTTTTCTCTTCATGGTCTATGCTCCCATGTTAATGTCCAGTTATTCTGAAAGCTAATCATTCAAGTGTACAGCACCATAGCCATGGTATAGTCTGAGAACTATATGTTTTCTCATGTGTTTTCTCCCTACATACCTTCCTCTGATTAACTAACACAACCACAAGTCATGTAGACTTGACTTGACCAAAGGTACATGTATTCTGTGTTCAGAGGGTCATTGCTTTAAATAAAAATATAACTTGTATTTTGTTCATGATGGGGTGGTTTTTTGTTTTTGGGGTTTTTTTTGGTTTTTTGAGGTGGGGTCTTCCTTTGTAGTTCAGGCTGGCCCTGAGCACACTATGTAGCCCAGGCTGGCCTGGAATTCATGGAGATCCTCCTGCTTCAGCCTCCTGAATGCTGGGATTACAGGCGTGAGCCACCACACCCGGCTTGATGGGTTTTTGTTGTTGTTGTTGTTTCAAAGGAATATAGTGAGGAACAAGAAAGCCACGAGTTTGGTTACTGGCTGTTGACTAAAACCCAACACTTCACAGCACCCATGTTCACAGTGAATACTTTTACATACGCTAGAACAAAGTGAAGTTTCAGTTTCAAATATTTTAAGTGCATGAGTGTGTTGTGAAGGAGACAAAACTGTTGTGTATAAATAAAAGTATTATGTTGAAAAAGATGTTTTCTTTAAAAAGACATGATTATTTTGAAAATAACACATAAGCAATCTTCTTCAAAGGCCAGAACTCTGGAGAATTTTGTTGGTTTTCTGGCTTTTTTAATAACTCTGTGTGTGTGTGTGTGTGTTTCCCCAAAAGAAAACAAAAGTGAGTTTTCTCAAGTAGGCCATCTGAGCACTTGTTCACCCGCACGACTTCTACCGTCTCTTTTTTACCCTTAGCTTGCAGAGGAATCACAGTTTTTAAGTCCTGCCAAGTAAACAGCGTTACTAAGAAACCGTAAACTCTCTGAACTGCGGCCAGCCCTGTAGGTGAAATCGGTCCTTGCGGACCCTCACGGGGCCTTGGGACAGGACGGGGCAAGAGGGGACAGGAGGGGACAGGAGGGGACAGGACAGGCCAAGCCCCGCGGCGCTGCCCCCGGCTCCCTTCCGCTGCTTGCCAGGGCGGCCCCTTCTCGTTCACTGGAAATGCCAGTTTTCCACAAGCCATTCGGTGCGCTGCGCTTCTGGGAAAAGCACGGAAGAAAGGAGCCAAGGTGCTGCAGACTGAACTTCTGTCCTGCTCCTCCTCACTCCCCTTTCTTCCCGGCTCCTGAGGACCCCGCAACCATTCAGCCTGGGCGCCTGAACTGCAGCTGGACAGGCAAGTCCGCTGCCACGCTTCTCCCGGCGCCCGGTGCACCCGAGGGCCTCGCTCGGTGGTTTTTGTTGGCGGCTGTTCACCAGGGCTTTGCAGTCATGACCTCCGCGCCAGAGTGCAGCTCAGCGAAATGTGGGTGTGGGTTAGGCACTGTCTGCTCTGCTCGGAAGGCAGAGCGAAAGAAAAGATACAGTTTTGGAAACCGAGGAGACTCGCAGAACCCATCGAAGCTTCGGTGAGCCTTTCCTCACCCTAACGCTTCACTGTCCCTCCAAGGTCCTGCAGCTGTGCGCTCCCTCATTATTTCTTTCTTCTAATTAAGTGAACTGGGGGAAAGTGCTGAGTCTCTTGCTTCAGGACAGATTTGAAAGTAGAATAAAAAATACAAACACGCAATAAAAAGTATAAATTGAATTATTTTGCCCACACTGCCAAACCATCTGCCTCTGAGGAAACACGTCAAAACAATGCAAATACTGGAATCCAAACAGTTCTTCCATATAGGGGAACATCTCTGAAGTGCTTGACTTGCAAGGGAGAATTTCTTTTCAGAGTGGGCACCAACTAGGAGCAGTTGTAGGTACTTAAATATACGCAACTTAGCACATCTGCTAATGCAAACAGCCCCAAAAGAAAGAACGAAAGGAAAAACCAGATCCACACCATGGAGAATGTGGATGATTAGTAGCAGATGAAATCCAAATATATTGGGATATAAACATGTTCTGCACATTCCCGGTGGTGTGACATTCATGGCGATGACTATTGACTGGTTATTGCTGTCATACTCCGTGGCAGTCTAGAGCTGAAACAGCTCTTCAAGATGAGCTGGTCCAAGCCTTTCATTTGCCAGCTGAACAGGGAGGAGGAGTTAAGTGAGGCATGCACATCACATAGCTTCTCACCAACAAGAGTTGGGTTGGGATGTGGTTTCCCTGACAGCCAAGTCAGTTCACCAAGCTTTGATCTTTATCTTTCATCTGGAAGGAATTTGTCCTACTGATAAAAGAGATATGAAGGCATATAAACCACAGGCACAGAGAGAGAATCATGACAAAAGCTATACTCGTGTGAAGTTAACCACATGCAAAATGAATGAAGACAAAAGATTTCTGTGAGATTCAAAAGATAGGAGAAGTTTGTCACAATTTCTTGTTACTCTAAGTAATGATGATTGCTTTTTCACAACTATAATAAAACAGTGACTTAAGAAAGTACATTGAATTTATCAGGTGGCTGTCTAAATTAAGGGTGACCAACTCAGGCTTTAGGGTGTACAGCTTTGCAGAGCATGAGCTATACTCATTGGTGATGAGGAATAAACTGTATTACAATAAAACAGCACTCTATTTTAAAGTAAGATCTGTTTTGTTGGAATATCAAAATGGTAGCAATGTTAAGTAATATCACTATTTCTAAATAACCGATAAGGAGGGAAATTTTTATGATAGCTCATTACTGATTCTGTATTCTACATTTATTCTATTGGTCATCTTTGCACAAATTGTTAGGAATTATGCCCTTATATAGTTCTTTACATACGTGAACATAGTAAACTCCCTTAGATTTTTATAGACTAATCTTTCTAAAGATTCCACCTTTAGAATTATCTACAAATTTTATAATCAGAGTCTCAATTTAGTATCAAGTAATCAACAGAGATGGTGACTAGAAGTCATCTGTGTAGGAAGAACACCATGAGTGGATCCATAGCATTTAGTGTTGATAGTTTCTCTGTAGATAAGACACTGGTTTTATCATTTGTTCAAATGAAAAGAGTAAAGTTAAGAGCTCTCTTCCTTACTTTATTTTAAAGCATGTCTTCCTCATGAAATATGCATAGAACACTCACTGAAAGCCTAGTCCTCTAGCACTAGAAGGTATATTAGAAAAATTGAGAAGGAAAGGACTAACAGTGTCCTCAAAAATTGTTCATCTAGGGTCCGGGGATTTAGCTCTGTGTTTGGCTTCACAAGCACAAGGACCCAAGTTCGATCCCAGGTACCAAAAAAACAAAACAAAAATTGTTCTTCTAATGGGGAAGATGATATAATCAACATGAGTTCTGTGAACGTTAACCCACACTCTGGTCTAAATTAGACAATACCTGGGAGGAGATTAACCATTCTTGTCCAGAGGCCGAGTAAAGACCAATCAAAGTCGAAAGAAACAAGCTGAAAGGGAAGGAAAATCTACTACGATTACTGAAAATAGAAACTTTCATAAACGTCAATACAGACATTCACAAAATCAGTGAGTTGGTAGTATACTTATACATCATTGCACACTAAATAGGGTTCAGTAGGAGCATCATTTTTCATGTGTGTTTAATATTCTTTTTCTTAAAGAGCCAAGGCACGGTGATCAATTCAAATTCCTAAGAAAAAGTGACTTCTTCCAAAATGTGCTTAAAATACATCTGGAAGCGAGAGCAAGCAGATGACCACAGAGAACTCAGCCACCAAAAGGAGCATGTGGGGAAGACATCAGTGGCCAGGGAAAGTGCAGGGGGGAAGCAAACTTCTAGAAGTCAAATGACACAAGTGCCTCCCTCCAAGACTGTCCTGAAGACCTGCTAGCAGGAAGTCGGCATTCAGTGACAATGGTGGGAAGCAGTGGAGGCATCTCCCAGAGGAATCAGCAGTGGAGAGCACCGCGCCTTCCAGCAGGCAGGTCCACGACGTCGCTGACACTGCACCTGGTAAGCTGTCGCGGGTGAAAGTTTCCACCTATTCCTTTTTTGTTTTTTGAGACAAGATCCCGCTATGTAGTTCAGGCTGGCCTTAAACTCACTATTACCCCAGGATGGCCTCAAACTCATGTCAATCCCCCTGACTCAGCCTCCCCAAGGCTGGGATTACGGCATGTGCCACCACACCTGGAAGCCCACCTATTCCTTAGGAAGGAGCCAGGCACTGAAACTCTCGTGCCTAACCTGCATAATTAGTAGTTTGTTGCACACAACTTTATGAAATTCTTCCTACATTTCTCATTATAGAGTGGTGGATGCATAGGTAATTCTCTACACATCTGTTATCTGGCACCTTTTTATTGTTATAATACGAGTACCTGCATTGGTAGGTGACAATGTGCCATAGGGATTTAGAGTCACTCCCACAATTATGTGAACAAGCAATTTACAGAGGAACTAAACATTGATGAGTGCTGAAAATCCACTCAACTCCTGATGGATTGAAATAGTGCAAATTAACAAGAGGGTCCGTTTTCACCTATAAAAATGGCAAAGATATTCCAGAACAAGAGCAAGCTGTTAGGGTTTTCTAAACTGCTGATGAGTATATGAATACAACCCCTCTGGAAGTGTTAGCTCAAAGTAGTATATTTAAGGAAAATAGCGTCTTTCATTAGGATTTCCTTTTAAAATACACTACATGGCCTGATTTATGTTGGGTAAGAAATATTTTAAATAGATACTCATTTGTTTCCAATACATTGTAGCTAAACACTTGCCACATGACTCATGCTGGTCTACAATGGGGGACAAAGTTCCTGCCTTGCTGGAGTCCATGAAGATTTAATCCCAACTTAAATCTGATTCGCATGGAAAGAAGATTTAGTGTATGAAGCTGTAGCAATAGGTCACTACTGTTCCATTTAGTGTGAGCTTATAAATGTCTGAAGTACATATTTAGATACCTGAGGAAGATATTCTGAAAAAATATCTTTTAGTGTTACTGCTGGTACTATGTATCTGGTAAAACTAAGGGTATCTGAGTTTGTTCTTTTTTATGTCTATCAGTAAGTCCTAGTAGTATTCTGCAGTAGTATATATTTGAAAACTGAAGGTCACTGACATCCTTTTATCTTTAAGGATCTGAGTTTTCTACAAAAGACAGCAATTTCTCCTACTGAATCACATTGCTGGAATCTTCACTTAGAAGCAGAACGTTGGTAGATGACTTATTTATCTGTTTAGCAAGCAACACAGAATCTCTTGAAAATATAATATCGCCTGAATTCATTTTCTTTTACAATTGCAATGACATAACATTTTTTTCCAATGAAGTTATTTGATTCTAACAATCTTGCGGCATGATCAGATCCTGAATAACCAACCCTATTTAACAAATGAGAAAAATGATTTGGGTGTGGTTCACAGACCCAAGGAAAGTAAACAGTGAGAGGAGAACTAGAATTTAGAGCCTCTGAAAGTTCATTTCCTCCCTAAGTATGGTATCAGAAAGCCACTCCTCAAACCCATCCCTAGGAGAACACTGATGGGGAAATCCACTGGTCTAGGGTGCTGACGTTTTCAGAATTTGACATAGGCCTGATGGGAAATTTTCTTGCACCCTGTCTGGTTGGTTGAAGGGTGAGGGATTCAAGCAGGGGAAGTCTCAGAACATTTGCCTCAACTGCTGGGATTTGGAAGACTCTCTTCCTCCTTCAGACCCCTAGTGTTTACACAGGATGCCAGGGACTGTTGCCCTTTTTTTGCTCCTCTGAGACATTTGCAAAACCAGAGATTGGACTCAACACACCTGGCAAGGCAACCTCAGGAAATGCCCTTCAAGCGGGTTCCTTGATCTAATGCGGTCTGAAGCTGACACCGCCCTAGATTTTCATCTCCTCCTTTGAGGCCTTTTATGGTAAGGTGTTCTGGTGCTTGCCTTGAGCAGTGTGCTTAGCCACACAGTGCGCTGAGCCACACAGTGCTGTCATTGAGTGGCCATCTGCCACCATCTCAGCCTGCTCTCCTCGGCCCTGAGGTCGGCCACCCGCCTCCGCCTCCTGACCAGAGTCACCCTCCCTTCCGGCCTCCTCCTCAGCTCTGAAGAGCCCTGTGCGGGTTTCCGATGCGCCGTGCTGTTCAGAACTTTGCAACTTGGTGCCTGCGTGTGCCTCCTCCAGGGCTGCGTCTGTCCTCTGCCTTTGTCTCCCTATCCTCTAAAACTTCTTCCTGTGATGCCCGAGACCTCCCCAGCGTCCCCAGCAGATCTTGACCCCGTGTGCGCGTGGCGGACCCCAGTGCATCCTCGTTGCTTCCTCCCAGCTGATCAGAAACTCTTCAAAAAGGAGGATTTGTGTTTGCTTTTGTTTTGTCTCTCTCTCTCTTTTTTTTTTTATATCACCAGTACCTAAACTAATACTTGTTGGTGTTCAAAGTGGCTGAATTAATGAAAGTATTAAGTGCCAAAAGAAAATAAAACCTGATTCTATCGTAGGGCAGCATCTTGCTTTATTTTGGTTTGGTCTTGCTTGTTCTAAGTTGTTTTGGTAAGAACTAGAAAACATAACACATGCAATTACTAAGAATTTGCACAGCTGGGTAGAGTTCTTAGCCCATCAGTAGATGAGTGATAAGATAGGAGACTCAAGTGCTGCTGGTCCCTCCTCTCCTTATTCACCATTAGTCACCAGAGCCGCAAAGCAATCGGCACTGAACGGGTCGTGCACCACCATGTTGGAAAATTCTCGAAACATGATTTACGTGCGAGCGCCAAGTTTCTTTAGACCGAGTGTGGAGATGTCAAATGAGAAGAGGAGGAACTTGTAGGGTTAAATGCTTTTGTACTGCTTGGGAAATGGCTCAGACTCTTCAAGGTTTCAAGATACTGACTCTCTTTACTGCCAGATGCCCTGTATGATATCTGGGAAGGAAGGCATCTGATGGCATGGCCTCTTTTTCCTAAGTGTTGTTCTAGACCCTGGATTCTCCATGCCTGGGACGCTTAGAAATGCTCATGGGCAACGCAGAGATGTCACCAGTGGCACAGTGCCATTTCAGAAATGGGTGGGGCCCCGGGCCTCTGTCTTTTTAGGTGACCTGACATCTTTTTCACAGAAGACCCACAGTAGAAGAAAATCCGTAGTGAACTTTTTTTAAAGAGCGAAGCTTGCCAAGTCTGCCTCTGCTCATTCTAACATTGGTTTTGGCGAGCTCATTGTTAACCACCTAAGTGTCGGTCAGTGGCCTTCCTCACAGGAAACAGATGCGCCAGGGTTTATTTACAGAGAAAATGACCATGGTGTGAGTGGAGTTCAGGAAATGGCCAGGACCATACAGAGGCCCAGAGCTTGCAGCTTGAGGGTTCTCATTCCCTTCTCCCTCCACATCCAGGAAAGAGGTGGGGACAGAGGCTGCCTGGAGTCCCCACGCAGGACACAGGCAGCCCTAGGCAGGCCTGCCAAAGGGACCACACGCTCAGCCCCTGGACACCACCTTCCCGACTTCCTGCCTTCTCAGAGGTTCCCTTGAAGGAAGTCCGGGGCCTGGAAGGCTCTACTCAAGTATGAGATGAGTTGGCCTTCTATGCCCCTCTGAGTCCGGTACTGTTTTTATCTGAGTAGAACATTTAGAGAAAAGGCGACTCATATATAACTAGGCTAGTATCACTTCAGCCACACGGCCTCCTGAAGCTGCTACTGCTATTCTTCCTAGAAGGAAGTGATAGAGAAAAAGAAAAAAGTCAGGGTTCTGCAGAACAGAGCCCTAGACTCTGTCTCTACACCTGCCCACCAGGACAAACAGAATCGGCTTCAGTTTTAGCCACGCTCCATACCTGCTTAGCCTCTGTAAATACCTCTGCTAGATGAGGATTTTTCTCCTGGGTGCAGCAGGGTGTAACGAGTCTTCATTCCTTCTTTTGTGAACTGGCGTGGTACCCTCAGTCCAGGCTGTGCTGGGGTGTGACTCTCCTTGGAGGCCTGTGGCTGTGGGCCTGAAGGTCACTGATCCTCGCTCGTGGGGCAAGGAAGGTGTAAGGGAAGTCAACCAGTCAGGGTTCATACACTCGGCCACGCCCGGCTCAATGTTCCCATCGATGAAGTGGGTGTCACTGGTTCTTGACAATGACCTTTCCGCTCCGGGCCAGGTTTTTGATTAGTCGCACAGTTCTGTGGGCCTTGTGACCGTCCTCCATCCTCAGTGTCAGCTACATCTCCCGTAACCGTGGGGAGGCCTTCAGTGTAACTCAGGAGATCCGCTCTCTGGTACATTCCTCATTATGTGCTCACGGTTTTGTATTCTCTAGGACGGAAGGAGCCACAAGTGCCTGTGATCTCAACAGTCAGAGTGACTCATGGACACAGATCCCATTAGCACACTTCTAGCAACCACCAGTGAGAATGTGAATATTTACTGTGCCAGCGTATGCCATAGGCACTGTCTGACCCCTCCCACCACAGCAATGAGCTGCTTCCTGCACGCCCCAAATATGTGGCGTGCCAGTCCCGTGATCCCATTCCACAGGGTCCATTTTCTGAGGCTCCTTCTAGTACCAATGAACGCATCAGGCAAGGTCCCAGTGGAAGAGAGATAATCAGAGGAACATTAATTCACAAAGTGACATTATAAACAGATTTTGGGGGAGTAGAAGAGAATGGCCACAGACAGGGCAGGAATGGGGGCAGCAGGAGGGCACTGTTACTGAGGAAAAGGAGAGGCCAAAAGAGCCTGAAGGAAACAAAGTCACAGTCTCGTGCAGAAGCCAGAGCACTGTGGGGCCGGGGCTGCCAGCAGTGCAGTGCCACTCTGAGGCCAGGTGGGTGGAGGAGAAGGGGTGGTTCTGGAGGATCACGTGGTAGGGAGAGGACACAAGGACCTACTGTCCACTTCTCCTACTAACCGTTACCTGTCTTCCTTCTAAACTGGGCCGTCTCATCTTTTTGTGAACTACCTGGCTCAGTTTATCTGTCTCTCTTGTTTGTGTGCACATTTCTGGAAAGTGCATTAAAATGCACCCTTGTTCTCACGTTGCCTGAAATGTGCTGCGATACTTACCTGCGCATTCTCATATCGTACACACACACGGGTGCACACATGCACTCTTTCTCCAGTTTGAATATAACTAGCGACCACAACTCGGATGCCATTAGATCATGCGTAGATATATGTAGCTGTTTGTGATTCTTGAGTTTAAAAGGTGAAAACTGGTAACTGTGCCTGAAAATATGTATGTGCAGTATCTTTCCCTTCCTTCGTCCTTCTGGCACAATGTTCTTTCACTTTAGAACACTCAGTTTCCATTTATTTCATTACCTGAGAGAGGTACTGGCTTTGAGAGGCAATTTATGAAACTATGGCTTTCAGAAATGAGATACTTTTAGTATTATGAGGAGTCTAAGATTTTTTAAATTTCATTTTGGTAATGATTCCTGATTTTTCTTCACAGGATTTGGTTTTTAGATACAAATCTCTTTCAGTCACCTCAAACTTTTATTTGAAGTAAAGTGAATTATCTGAATAGAAATATCATAACCAAGAATGATTGAGTTAATTGATAAACTAATAATATGTATGTTGACCATCTTGATGTCCATTCCGGATTTCACCTCTAAGCATTTTAAGAATAATAAACTTAATAAACCAGAAAGTATATTCCTTAGAATACAATTTTGAAAACATCCTTTCATATCTGTTAAATATTACTGATTAAGACCTAGGGAGTGAGTCCATGATAGCTGCCTTCTACATCCATTCACCTCTAAAACAATGTACAACTCAGATGATGAGAATGTTACAGTTTCCAAACTCAAATTCCTGTAAACATGTCCACCATTGTATGCTTGTTTTCCAAGGATCACAGACTGATCCCCACTACACTAGGATCATCTGGGACAGAGGATGTCTGTATCATTGGATAATGCGAAAATGAGCGAGGAACACGTTCTTGGAATTGAGACAATTTACCTGAAGTCATACTCCGTTTCTATGAGAAAGAAAGAACTAGAAACTGAGAGACTGTGATCCTTATTCTTCTGCTGCAGCCATCTGGAACCCCCAGGTTTCTGCTTCATGCTCCAGACAATGCCTCTGGGTCACTTTCCTGGAACTCTACTCAGCCCTGTTGAAGGCCTAGCAGTCACGGCAGGAGTGACCGGTGTACCACCCAGGCCTGGTAAAGCAAGGCTGAAATGGTCACAGTGCCACATCTGTATGTGGGTATACGATGACAAGTTTCTGCCACTCTCCACAGCTGAGGTAAAAATCCTGAAAGATGTGAAAACTTCAATGTACTCCAACTCCCAGTTTTGAGAAACTGAAGGCAGACGGCAGAATTTTATTTTCCCTGATTTAAAACAAAAGGAAAGCAAATAAATAAAAATCTTAACTGCTAGCATATCAATACCTCAGTAGCTTTAGAACCACAAACTTTTGACCCAGAAAGGGGCAAAAATGTCATTGACATCAACCACAGCAGATGCAAAAAGAATTTCCAAACCGTCCACGGGAGGCTTGGGTTCAGATGATTTCAGCAGTGAGAACCGATCTGAAGAGAAAGGAGAGTGGACCGTGAGCAGAGATTTGTGGCGACCGACCGAGGCGATCTCAAGGCCGACTCAGGCAGGACACGGTCACTTCGTGTGTGGACCGCTTCTGACTGGCCGCAGGGCTGCCCTCGGTGCCGGGGAGCAGCGACACTGGACAGAAAGCGAGGCAGGGCTCAGCTCGCAGATGCCCCACGGATGGCTTCCCACCAGCTGTAAGGCAGCCCCCGCCCAGCCAATTTCAGTCCCCGGAGAGCGAGGGCCCGAAGGCCGGGCAGGCATTAGGATCGTACTCAGGGACCGAGAGCCCTCGGTCAGGGCCGCGCTCCAGCCAGGGCAGCACCGGGGCTTCAGCCGTCATTCTAACTGAATCCTTTCTTCTGTGCCTGATAACTTCTGTCTTTGTGGTTTGAGTGATTTAAGTTTCCTGGAGAAAGCATTTCAATGACGGGGAAAAATGACTCGTAGCCTGAGCTCACAGACGCAAAGCCGGTCACACAGTGATTCGTACTGTAAAGGACTCAGCGATTGATGTAAAACAGAGGGTGAAGGCCCTGAATTAAGTCGCAAGGGCCAAGTAAGTCTGGTCATGAACAATGAGATGAAGTTTAGAAACTCTGCTTTTGAATTAGTTATATTTCGAGTTTGTTTTCGTCTGAATTTTAAACTGTGTATGCAAGATGAAATATATAAAATCTAGTGCGATTAAGAAATTGTATCCCAAGTCATGGATTCTGTTAACTAACCAACTCTAGTGTTGAATTGCTGACATTTTGCAAATGCAGACTGTGAGTTGGGCCTAGCCCTGAGTATCTTTCCCAGTTCCTCCACAACAGTGCTCAAAAGTATTGTCATCCCTCAGGAGGCTGAGGCAGGAGGATCATCACAAGTTCAAGGTCAGCCTGGGTTACATAGTAAGTTTAAGTTCAGCCTAAGTTACATAGCGAGAACTTATTTTAAAAATACACAAAAAAGGTACATAGGACTCTTGACTTACAAACTCAATCCGTTCCCGAGGGCTGGTTGTAACTCATGGTCAGTTGAGGCTCAGGCTCCTACACAGCCTTCAAAGCCTCTCTCCTGTACACAGGCAGATCTCAGAGAGACATCGGCCCAGGATTTCTCAGTGAGCCCCACATGGGAAAGGAGGCTGTCCTTCTCTTCAAGGATGAAATCTGTGTTTGAGACCATCTGGACACACAAGCGGCTGGCACTTGGGTCGTAACTCAAGACTTTGTTCATAAGGGAAAACTAAACTTCCAGTCATGATCCAAGTTGTTCGTATGTCAGGTCAGTCACAACTCGCTGGTCCACTATATGGTCATCCCAACTTTTCAGAAGAACAAAGGCAAAGAACAGTTGTTGATGGGTGAAATTCTCAACCTATGTCACTTGAGCCCAAACTAACTACATAAAGCTCTTGTCATCAGGAAAATCTGAATTGCACAATTCCTGCTGGTTTTAAATCAAAATAAGTATGTTTGGATGGCAGCCTGTTTCTTAGCAATTGTCCATGTGTTTAAGAAAATCACCCCCCCCCCATCAAGTTCTTGCTAGAACCTTGTGGAGCTTCAGTGGCTTCGCACTCCCCAGAGTTTACAACGTCAGGTTTGGGACCAAGTCGTCTCCCCCACTCGCCCCTCGGGCCCTGTGACACCTGCACATCTGTTTGTGTCTGCACACCCGAGGTGTGGATGGATGGGCTCTGCCAGGGCTGCCAGGTCTCTGACTAGGAAAGTGGATGCTGGCTTCAGGGGAGTGTGGAGGGCTTTGTGGAATTCAGCCCTAAGGGCCTGGATTAACAGGTCTCTCAGGACGTGGTTCAGGACCCTTCTTCCTGGTACAAAGGTGCCTTTTACCCTGCGGATGATCTAGCCTCGAGCATTTATGGGTGAGGCCTTCCTTGCCATCCTGGGAGGATGCTTGAGAGCTAACAAATGGCCTTGCAGTGCGGAGGGCTTGAGTGGGATCTCAGTCCTTTCTTCACCAGTCGTGTGCTCTGTGGCTTTTACTAAACTCAACTCAACTTTGGTTTCCTCATCTAGAAAATGTAGTCCCTCATTCTCATGATTTGAGTGAGGAAACCTTGAAGTAATAAGCAGAAGTTGTCAGAATCAAGCAGTGGCAAGAAATCTCAGCACACAGAGGTTGACACATTGGTAAGCCTTTTGATTTACTGGGAAAAAATCAGACATCATCTCTTGGCTAACCATGCTTCTCCTCCGGTATATTCTGTGAACACACTTCCAGGGAGCAAGCGAGGAGCTATGTCCCAAACTCATTCCGCAAATGTAAAGATGCAAGGTGTCTCCGTGAACATTTGTAGCTAAATATAAAGGTTTAGGAGGCTATGCTGGCACTCTGAAAACCCTGAACTTGGAAAGCATGTCTAGCACAATCCCGGGAGACACTGAGGCTGTCCAACTTTATGCAGGCAGCCCAAGGCCTGGTGAGCAGTGGTCCGGAATGAAGATTTCTGCTGGCAGCACATGTGTGCAGGGATTGTCAGTGTAGTGGGTAGCAATTATTTTCCTTGTATTTGGTGACTTTCTCTTAGAAGGATAAAGTCGTTAGGAGAAAATTCCTTCCCAACACCTGCTCTGTCCAGCTCTCAGTGGACCCAGTAATTCTGGGCATGAATTCCACAGCGATGTTAAATCAGCTCCTGCTTGGATGGACATCTGAATGGAGGTGCCTAGCACGAGGTAATGAGCCAGAAAAAATGAACACAAGCACGGTTCCCGGCCGGGGGAAGCCTTTCAGGGAAATTATGCAATGGAAACTCTGAGTCTGGTAGGCCTTGGCTTCTCTACTGAGGCCAGTGCTGTCCACGGATGCTTAAAAACTGTTCAGG